GCACTGCAGCAGAGTGCGGCGCGGCTCTCTTAAAAAAAAAAAGAAAAAAAAAAGAAATAGATTGAGAGAAGAATATAGATTACTTAAAAAAAAAAAAAAGATAAGGCCAGTTTTTTTTAACGGGCAAAAACAAAAAAAAAGAACGCTGTTCACGGCTACTGTCTTCCCCGGGGCCAAGTCCCACTTGAGCTGATTCTTGATTTCCGGCCACTGATCTTCGTTATCTACGGTGAGCAATTGGGAATTCGGGTAAGGGGTGGACCCCACAGGAAAAAGGATGGAAAAACCATCCGGCCAAAAAAAAAGGGCAAAGAATTTTGGAAAGCTGGAAAGCAGTTTTGCGGGGACCCCACCGCCGAGGACCAAGGGCGTCCTTAGACACTCCTAGGGGACGCGAAATCCCCAAGGATTTGTTCATTCCACCTATCCTCGTGAATGCAATCCGAAAAAAGAGTGAAAACGCGCGTAAGGAAATTCCTCGGGCAGTAGGAATTTCCCCAGCCAATTCTTCCTATTGCCCACGAGGTCCCTTGGGCACAAGGAATCCGCGTTTCATGGAGAGGAGAGGGCACATGGGTAGATAGACGTTACAGCCGAGAATCTGGATCGTGGCGGCACCCTATTGGCTGAAGGCCTGAAGCACAACTGTTTTTTTTTCTTCTTTTCTTCATTTTTTTTCTGACATCGCTCTTAGGAAATGTCGTCGGGCGACATCCCCCAGGACAGGTGGAACGAAGGGCCCRAATTTCCTTTTGAGCCATTAAGAATCTTTCCTATTGTCTGAGGATTTCAATAGGAGTGTCTAACGACGCCCCAAATGCGCCGTGGAAACCGTCTGGAAATCAGTTGAGCCAATGTGGTTGCCTTCCTCCGTCGGCACTCTATTTGTTTTGTTCTTGTTTTCTTTGTTTGTCCTTTTTTTTTGGTGGCACTCTTGGTCGCTATTCGCTGCTGCCTCCCGTGAGACTTTTCCGAGACTTTTCCATCCAGGAACGACACGCCCTCCCCCCTGGTACCCTCTAGAGTTGGCACAAAATTGCAGCGAGGAATCCTCCCGTGAGACCTTTCCAGCCCGCAGACTATGTGAAAACAGAAAACTATGTTTTTCCAAGCCGCAATCTTCGGTCTGTGGGGTCCCGGAAAACGGTTTGCGGGAGAAATTTCACCTTTCCGTGGACATCTGTTCCGTGGACATCTGCTGCAGGCTGTGGGGTTCCCGAAACAGTTTTGCGGCAAAGTTTTTCCTTTCCGTGGTCCTGTGGGGTCCAACTCTAAGTGAGGATAGGCAATTTATGAATTAAAAAAAATAAAATAAAAAAAGTGCTATTTCTTTATTTTTGGGAGTTTTCCCCTTTCTGGGGTCGGGTCCCACTAGCACAGGGGCATGGTCCTACTAGCAACCGGATAGGATAGAAAAGAGTTTGTGTGGCAGTTGAGTGATCCAAATCCTGCCGTGCAGTACTGGTGATCCCACGGTCAGTATTTTACATGTATTACCCAAAAAAGTGAGGAGATCTTGGTTCCCCTCCTCTCCTTAAACCACCAGTACCTCGCTCAGCTATCGTCCGCGGGCCTTCCCGTATACGCGCCGCAGCCTTAGGGGGGTCGGCCAAGGGAAGGCCCGGTCGTTGCGCGAAGGCCGGACCCCGCTTCTGTAGGGACGACACACCAGAGAGAAACAAAAGAAGAAAGAAGGGAAAAAAAAAAGGCAAAACACAAACGAAAAAAAAAACAACCAAAAAAAACAAAGAAATAAGAAAAATAAAACGAACCTTCGGAAAGGCAAAGCGGGAATGATTCTTACGGGAATGAATCTTCCCGCTTTCGCGGAAAGAATCATTCCCGCTTTGCGATTTGAAAGTGGCAGCAAGAGAGAGAGAGAGAAAGAGAGAGAGAGAGAGAGAGAGAGAGAGAGAGAGAGAGAGGCGGCGAGTTCAGAGAGAGAGAGTTCGCCGCCTCTCTCTCTCTCTCTCTGAACTCGCCACCTCTCTCTCTCTACGAAACGGGAATGCATCTTCCCGCTATCGCAGGAAGATGCGTTCCCGTTTCATGTTTCAAAACGCGCGCGCGTGCGCGCACGCGCGCGAGAGAGAGAGAGAGAGTGTTTCGAAGCACGAAACGGGAACGCACCTTCCCGCTATGGTGGGAAGATGTGTTCCCGTTAAGTGTTTCTAAACGCGCGCACGCGCGCGCGAGAGAGAGAGAGAGAGAGGGGCCGCAAGTTCGCCGCGACCCTCCGTGCAGGTCGTCGCCTCTCTCTCTCTCTCTCTCTCTCTCTCTCTCTCTCTCTCTCTCTCTCTCTCTCTCTCTCTCTCTCTCTCTCTCTCTCTGCCTGCCACTTTCAAATAGCAAAGAGGGAATGATTCTTTCTGCGAAAGCGGGAAGATTCATTCCCGCTTTGGCTTTCCAGAGCCCTTCGTTGTATTTTTCTTATTTTTTTTGTTTTTTTTGGTTGTTTTTTTTCCCGTTTTTTTCGTCCGTTTCGCATGGACGTTCGGGATGCCTGCGCCCGGTAGTCCCAGCGTCGGCACGGTTCAGTGCACCGGTCGGCCGAGGCTCGGACTGGATAGCTGGGCCAGGTACTGGTGGTTTAAGACTGGGCATGTCCGTGCAAAGACAGCTTCCCGCCAGAATCTTTTCAATGGTTGGGGGTGTTGCCAACCCCAAACGAGGTTGGGGTCGGAGTTAGCCCACTGGATAGAAGATTTTCAGCATTTTACTTGATGTTCTGCAATTATCTCATTGGGTGGAGCCCTCCTCCAATCACAGAGTATATGGAGGGCGTCAGGATCACTGCTGACACAAGTTGATTTTATTCCAAAAAAAAGTGGCGGTTACTTTGTTCACTGCTTTTGCAACCACCACCATCAGATCATTT